CATCAAAACAAATTTACACCAGGCAGAATTTCCTAGTATTTTCACTTGTTATGCAAAACATTTCCACGTTTGCCTGATTATAAATTAATTTTTCAAAAAATACTACCATTTTTATAAGACATTTGTTTTATTTAAGATTGACAGTTTTTCCCGATTTATCTACTGTGTTATCTACAGTAATAACAGTGTATTTTTATTTATAAAATTTACACAAACAGGGAAAGAAAATTCTTGTAGAAACAGGCGAGACTATTAAATTAGAAGCATCGTGGGAAAAAGTGAATTTACACGTTCGAGGTGGATACATTATCCCACTGCAGAAACCGAAACAAACCACCTATGAAAGGTAAATTTAGATAGTTTTAAATAAAATTTCTATTGTTTTTCTAACACAAACCATGTATTTCCAGCCGTAAAAGTCCAATGAAACTTTTAATTGCACCGAATGAGGAGGGATTTGCTGGTGGATCACTCTTTTGGGACGATGGAGAGTCGATTGGTAACGTTCCTGTATAAAAATCTACGCAATGAAATTATCGACAAGTTTCTTATTTTTTTAACAAATTACAGATTCGTTATCTGAAGACAAGCATCTGTTAATAAAATTTAATTTCTCGAAAGTAATTAATTAAAATACCAAAAATATATTTATTCGACTACATATTTTTTTGCATAATTGAACTATTGAATGTGATACAATTTTTAATTGTTATACAGGCAAAAAGAAACAGTGAATTGGTGATTGAAGTAACGGGACAATACGAAGACCCTTCGAAACTGTATTATTCTCAATTAATTATTTACGACGAAAATTTAAAACCGTTAGACGTAAAGATCGATGACGATAAATCGGTCCCTCGAGGAGATTGGAACTATAATGATATTCTAAAGGTAAGAAACGTATAAAGGGCACAAATTACAAATACAGAAGATATTTACATTATTTTATAACACATTAAACTGTAAAAAACAATCATTTTTCTGAGCTAAAACACGTTAAATTCTTTCAGGTACTGAAGGTGAACTTGCAACCAAATGTCGTGCGTATAAACGGTTCGCACAAAATCACAGTAATTAGGGAAAATTAAGGAAAATAAAGAATTAAATGAGAATTGTTTTATACGAGAAATTATATATGTATTTAATGAGAGACATTTAACTTACAAATGTAAAATAATTCGTATAACGAACGTGAAGACAGAGAATAAAAAAAAGAAAAGGGGAGAACGTAAGCCAAATTAATGTAAAAAAAAACAGAAACGATATGAATTTACGGCATTAATTTATAAATAGAGCGTTCAATAGGGAACTGATTAAACTGCGAATGATTAAGCGAGAGTATTTTTCCACTTTCACTTCTCAAAATTATCGATTTTCCTTCTTTAAAGAAGATAAAAGACATCATTATCCACCTCTCGACACATAAAAAAAAGGGAGAAAACAAATAGATACAGTATATCTTGAACAAACTTTACGGTGCCTCCTATATTCCGACTTAATTAAAAAAAATTCACGAGCGATACTAGAACACTAAACACGTTTTTATACACTGTTCTTAATTGTTTAACACTAGAGTGACGTAAAAGAACAAATGATAATGATAATTTTATTTGTGATTCGCTCCAACAGATGTCAGTGTGCTCGTTCCGCCAAAGTATTATTAGAATAATAATAATAAAAAAAAGTATATCCTCGTGTCCTTGGATTCCTTTTCAGCTTTCACCCTGACGTCTGAATAACAATATCGTGCGAATAACATTAAAGTACCTGCTCTGTCTCTTACCGCTTTTTATACAGCTGCAAATCATAATGGTTATTGTTAATAGTTTATTTAAAATATATGCTCTATTGTCTTACCCCCTGTACATCATACTTTCCTGCTAGTAATAGTGTCATGCCGGTCATCTATCTAACACCTTTCAGGGGACGATTTTTGAATTGAAATAACGTGACTTCTGGTGAAAAAATGGAGATTAGTACACGGTTAATCGGGGTTTTCTACACCTAAACTTTCCATATCTGGTCCCTCGAATTTCGTCTATTTAACTCCGTTAAGATTAAGGAAGGACGACGACGGATAGACAACCATAAGAACTTTTTTTAAAATCATTATTATTATTTGTTATCTTTCTTCTAATTTCTTTGATGGAATTAAACAGAAAATTAACATTTTTCTCTCCAAATTCCTTCGCAGTTACAATTAAACTCGAAATAATTTCGCTTCTTTCAACTTTAAAATGCATTCTTTCTAACTTTATTATGGTTCATTCAACTTAATTTCAATTAAGAATTCTCTTCTTTTATTATTTTTTAGCGATTATAATTTTATTTAAATTAAAGATAACATTTTGAAGATAGAATTTCATTACTTTCCGAGGAAAATAATATAAATTTTCTATGGAAAAACATTAAAATTATACCACGAATTAATGTTTTTTAAGCAGAGAAAATGAATATTAGAATTATTTTTCCATTTATTTAATATGAATGTAATCGCTTCAAAATTTTTATCTTTCATCTAAATGGTATTATAATAGCTAAAAAACATTCTTAATTAAAATTCGGTTCAACGAACGTTTAAAATGTTTGAAAGAATGAATTTTAAGGTTAAAAGTGATTAAAATCGCGTAAAGTCTTTAACCCGATTACATCGAGATATGACACGCGACCCTCTCTATCTCCCCACCCCCTCGACCTTTAACCTCTAAAATTTAATATAATAAAGGTCCCTTATACACAAACCTTCCTGCAAAATTTCAGAAATTTTCGACAAAAGGAACAGGAGTTATTAAGCTTTAAATGGGTGAACGAACTCATGCCCCCCTCATACAAACACAAAAACTGCATATATATAGACAAAAACACCGTGATTTTTGCTCATTTCAAGGTCCTCCGAGTTCAAAAATGTAAAAATCTTGGGGGGGGAGAGTGATTGTTTAATCGCTCCATACTTTCCCTCTGTTATATATAAGTAGAATAAAGTAGTGTACATATTTGTATAGAAAATCAAGAAAAACAACATAGAAACTCTCAATTGTAACAGATAAAATGCAGGAAACCTTTAAAAAGTTGCAATTAATAAGGAATTAGCGAAACTAATAACATATTGTGACATAATTCCTGTCGAATCACTACACATAACTCGACACCGGCAACGATTGTTAAACAGTTCTATAGTAGACAATGTCCCCGTCACGGGAACTTTTAAACAATAAATAATATCGTAATTAAATTCCTCTTTTGTTAAGCAGATTAACTTTAAAATCGTTTGTCAGTTTTGTGTATTAATACCCGAAATTTGTAATTTAGTTGTAATCTCTTCGGATATTCGAACGGATTAAATAATAATAATTCAAACTTTTCACTTGTTTTGTGTTATTAAAATACAATGGAAATGATCCTTCTTCGTTTAAGAACGAATAAACACATAAAAGACGAAGAGAATTTGTGTAGAAAAGTGAATTTCTACGAGGAAAGGTCTCGTCTAAATCCATTTCGTCGGAAAATTTCTTTTGTTTTTACCCTAAACGGCATCAATTAAGACTCTCCCCCCGTTTGCTTTATTGTTCTAACTTTAAATCTTTAATAAGAAGAAGTAAATTTGTCTTTCATTTCGTTCAAACATTATCGAGAGATAACAATTTCGACTTTAACACAATGCACTTAACACAACAGAAACTTTCTCTTCTTTAAAGAATTGAACAATGTAAAATATTACTTGAATAAAATAAAACAAAAGAGAAAAATAAATACGGTGCTACGTATTAAAGAACAAACGTCTACATCCTTAAACACTAAGAAGTGACCTTAAAAAAGAATCTAAACCTAAGAAAACAAATCTAAAAAGATACCTTTTAATATATACTGTCGACATATTTTAATATTTACGAGATTGTCCTACATTTAATTATGTATACTTTATGTATTTTCTACTCTATATTATGCATAATTACATGTAAACACTTGCTTAACACATTGTTTTTTATTTTAGAATACGTGCCTTTAAGTGTATTTTCTGGATGTACAGAAAATTTCAAGGATTTTACTTTGAAAACATCCTCGAAATTTTTGTGTATTTTCACTAAAAAACAATACAATTTCACGTTTAGAAACTAAACACTTAACTATTATCCACCATTTACATACATTAACAGAGGAAAACAGGGATTAAAACCATTAAAAAGTGTAACTATTTATCCCTTTTTATTCTATATTTTCTCTTACACAATTGTTAATTGTATATTTAACTCACTCTCGGATAATTAAAATAAGATTAAAGTATAATAATATTCCAAAGTTAACGTCTTGTACGCGATTAACAAAAGATTATAAACTGTATATAAACACTGCAACTGTATGATATTTTATAATAATAACTCCCATTAAAGATACACCGTTTATTACCATACGAAATTTATTTAATTAAAATTGCGAAAATGTTAAAATTCGATTCGTTTTAATTAGATTAAAGCGAGTTATGCCGGATTAATTAAGATAATTAATTAAATTTTCCGTAGAAAATATTCCCCTTCCCCCCCTTCTTTATGAAATATTTTAGTTAAATTTCATTAAATAATTTTATTTAAAAAATAAGTAAATAAAAAAAACGTATTGAATTAGATACACTTAAATGAATTGGCTGCTGTTACTTTCTATTTTAGTAACAAGGCATTGTTAAACAATGAACTGATAGCTTTTTGTTACATTAAAGTATGAGCTTCAAATAAAAATTATACGAAAAATGGAATAAATTTTGTAGAAATTACCGATTATTATGGCCTTTTTGTAAGAATTGTCACGTATAAATCTAAGAAAACACACGTTTTTTCTATGGAAGAACAGTTAGGAAAACAATGAAAACCTACTTTTTAACAGTAGAAAAACTTCAATTATTCTAAAAAAATTATCCACAGAAGAAACTTAGATTAAGAAGGATTGTTTTAGAATCTATTGGAGAAATTTGTCTTCCTTTAATGGAACAGAACAATGTCTGCAAAGTCCGGTTTGTCCATCTAATGTATATCTTGTTTACCCTCTTTCAAAGTGTACGTTTTATACGTTATCCGACGTAGAAATCTTATAAACATTCCATTGATCCTGTAGAAAAAGAACAGAGAAATTTTATGGACCAGATTCGTGTGCGATACTCTTTACCATGGTTCCATGGTTGATACTTTGATGGCCCCCAGAGCTGACGTTTATTACATTTTGCCTCATTTATAACCTTTTATGAAAGTATAACTTGTGTATTCCGGCTTTTAGAAGATTTTTTAAAAATCTCTGTACAGTTTCTGCTTGCTTGAAATTATCAGATTACCGAGTAAAATGTAGTAGATCTTTTGCATAAAATGGGTATTGAGCGTAAATAAAGCATAAGATACAGAAATTATGCTAGAAATACGAATATTCTTCAACCCCATAGAAAAAAATACTGTAGGAATATCCGTATTCCATCACCCTTAAAAAAACACTCCCTTCTTAACTTAAATTCGAGTATATTTTCGTGTTTTTCGGTCAATAAATGTAATACAGTAAATCTTAGTTACTAAGACTATTGTTTTCATCACCCTTACCCCTTAAAAGCTGGAGTAATTCCGGGCCCAAACAGCTAGTAGCGTATAAAAAATACAACATAAAATATATATAAATTACTCGAAAAATAAAGCAGAACATTAATAAAACATAATGTTATGTCTTCTACTTGCATAAAATTACATAAACACTTGAATTTTTATTTTTATATTATATGATTTTATACGTAAGGTGATTTTATTTAAGGTGATTTTTTTATGAAAGGAAGTTTACGTATAATCTAAAAACACGAGACACTCGCGCTTTTTTAGACGGTGTAGAGTAAGTGGGAAGTGTAACAAATTAACCTAGTTTGACATTCCCCTGGAGGTGCGACCTGATTTCTATACCTTTTTTTTCCGGATACGATCTTTGTTTTGGTGTTTTTGGAAAGTTAAATGTATAAATTTAGTCGTGACAATTACCAATGATCGACGTCCTGTGATTGAAAGCCAATTGTTCTGTATATTTATACCTGAAAATCATATGTTTTATTTAATAAAAATGGATAAAACTAGCGGAAAATAATTAAATAA